GGATGGACTTGCGAACTTGTTCAGTAATGCTAACTGCCTTGTCGATGGATCCCATGCGTATGTAGCACTCAGCTAGGTAAAGCCTATATTTCGTAACTTGAAGATCATCTCCTACCGCAGACCATATTCGAATCTGCTCCTGAGCCAACCAAGCAGCTTTTTTAGCGTGTTTCCGGGATTGTTTGCCAATTGATGCATAAGCCCCTCCGATAACTGATAATACGACACTGTTCCTGTGAGACAAGGCAATCGCATAATCAATCTTTTGTCTTTTGGAAAGCCATAACCCTTCAGCATACATTGAAACTCGAAATATTTTAGGATGACATTTAAGTATTAAAACATCAGCTTTACAGTATTTTTTCAGTTGCTTCTTCAGATAGAGAATGTAGTTGCCGATTATTCCATATATCAGAGGTTCTTTATCGCTTCGCCGGAACAGCTGCACAAAAAAATCATGAACACCAATATAGTCGCATTCCCAGACTACGATACTCTTCTTATTGAAAGGTTTCAGAATTTCTGGTTTGAATAAATGGAATTTGCCGTGATAACCCTCAAATACAGTGGCCAGCTGTCTAGCGCGAGTATCAGCCGAAGGCTTGAAGTTCAATGATTCTTTAAAACTTTCATCTCCCCGCAATCGCAATATCATTAAAAAATTGTAATTGAGTAAAGGGAAGTTCAGGTAAGGATTTATAGAGACAGAATTATAAAAAGAGATCGTTTTAAATTTCTAAAACGAAATCTCGTGCGCAAACAATTTTCCGTGAATTGCACAAACAGCAAAAAGAGAGCGACACTCACAAGATTCGAACTTGCGCGGGCAGAACCCAATTGCTCACTAAGCTTAATTAGCAGGCAACCGCCTTGACCACTCGGCCAAAGTGTCTTCTTGATGATGAATAGGTTCTCTAACACATCATAATCCAAGAATTTATCATAAAACTTTTGCTTTTAAGCATGAAATACTTCGCATTTTAAATTGTTTAATTAAAACGAAGGATATTAGGTTAACTTCGATTTCAGAATTTCAGATTGCCCTTGCGATCAAATCATATGCAGGGTTCATGTTGCAACTGGAAGCATGCGATCGATTTAAAATGTCTAATCTGATACTCTCTGCTGATTAAAGCCTTAAGCTTCTCCCGAATACACCTAGCTTCAGCGTTATGACTTATTTATCAGGAGGCGCGAACAATCAGATCAAGAAGAGATAGTTCGATTAAACTGCCTTATTGTTTCAACTTCTGCTTCGTAATACTGCGCATATAATGCGCTCGTGCTCCTAAGGCAAAGGCCTTACAATAAAAACAGCGCCCAAGAAGGGATTGTTCAACGCCTTGTTTCAGGTTTCTCACCGACGCCACACTTCCATTCTGCTAATGAAAACATTCGAGAAGCAGAACGAAATTCCTTTCCTTCCGGTGCCTGAATTAGAGAATACGCTCTCAAAGTACTTGGAGACGGTCAGGCCTTTCTTGAGCGAGAAGGATTATCAGAGAACGCTGGCAATTGTCGATGACTTTGAAGATGGCGTAGGGAAAACTTTGCATGAAAGATTACTGGCTAGGAAGGCAGAATGTGAAACGCTTGTTGGTTGGAAGCCTCAATACTTGGATTCTGTTCCTCTGGATGAGTTACTGCCTGAGTTATCGGCTTCCGGAAAGTCTGGATCACCAGAAATAGCTGCGACAAAGTCAAGTTGGCTGATCGACTGGTGGAACGAGTTCAGTTATTTGAGATACAGAGAATCTATTGTCCTTAATGTCAGTTTCTTCTTTGTGTTTCCCTTGAATTATGGCTCAATGACAAGAAAAGCTGCATCGATCGTGTTTCATGCTGAACAGTTTCGCCAACAGTTGATCAAAGAAGAACTACCTCCGGAACAGGCGAAGAATGGAGTCATGTGCATGAACCAGTACAAGTTTTTGTTTAATACTTGTCGTGTTGCATGCCAGCCAAGTGATAAGGTCTTGTCGTTTGAACCCGCAAAGAACGAGTCTGTTGTGTTTATCAGAAGAAATCATTACTATGTTTTAAAGGGTGTTAGTAAGATGAGTATGGATCAAATTGAAGAACAAGTGGCTCTGATTTTGCAAGACGCTGACGGTAGAGAGTCTTCTGTTCCTATAGGAATGTTAACCGCAGGTCATCGTGATGAATGGAGTGTTAATCTAAGGGAACTATACAAGGTTAATTCCAAGAACAAGGAAATATTGAAAGATGTATTTTCTTCGTCTTTTATTGTTTGTTTAGATACTGCAACTCCGATAACACGGGAAGAAATCGCTCATCTTTGCTGGCATGGTTATGGTTCAAACAGATGGTTTGATAAAACATGCCAATTTATCGTTTTCCAGAATGGTAGATGTGGATTTCTAGGTGAACATTCTATGGTTGATGCCACAACTCCTGCAAGACTCTGTGATTTTGTTTGTAGCAAGATGGAGACAGAGTCTTTCCTTAGAGATCCAGTTAGTCATCCCAAGATCAATTTCAAAGCAGAATACTTGAACTTTCAACTGACTGATAGTTTAAAGAAGTCTATCACAGACACAAAGAAGAAATTATTAGGTCAAATATCAAAGCATGATTTGCAAACATTGAAATATGCAAAGTACGGCAAAGGTAATACTTCAAAGATACAGATTTAATTGTTATTAAGGCTTTGTAAAAACATTGGGTGTCTCTCCTGACTCTTACTTACAAATGGCAATTCAATTGGCATACTTCAGACTGATGGGCTCATTTGCTGCAACTTATGAGAGTGCAGGGATGAAACGATTTCAATGGGGAAGAACTGAGACTTGTAGATCTGTTTCTAATGAGTCAGTTGCATTTTGTAGAGCCATGGAAGATTCATCGGTCACTGTTGAAGAGAGAGCCAAATTAGGAAAGCAAGCGATACTTGCTCACAGCCAGTATATGTCGGACTGTGTCAAAGGCGAGGGAATCGATAGACACTTCCTGGGACTTCGTCTAAGTGTCAAATCAAGCGAACCAATGCCTTCTTTGTTTCTGGACCCTGCATATACATTATCTTGTCACTGGACTTTGTCAACGAGTCAGATTCCAACCGAGTATTTTCAGGGATATGGATGGGGTCAAGTTGTTGATGATGGATTCGGAATTGCTTACTTTTATAATGGCGAAGATTGTTTCATGTTCAATGTTGCAGGATTAGTTGGCGATTCTGTTCCCGATCTGGAGGATTCAAGTTCTGACAGTAATCCTGAGAAAAATGGGACTTCAACACATCCAGTTGAAACTAGTGGGAATTATTCTGACGATGATGAAAGATATTTCCAAAGTAATTATAAGAAACAGAGAGTCCATTGGTTGCGATCCTGTTTGGAGGAGGCACTTGATGACATGCATACAGTATTTAAACAGAGTGCAAAGACAGAAAATCAAAAAGAACAAGTCAAGCAAGGAACTGCCTCATTGCCAAGAAGGAAATCGTCTGATAAAATCAAAAAGATCCAGCCTCTTACAACAGCTGATACTGAAGAATCGCCACCTGTTGTTCAGTCAAAAGAGCGCACACCATCAATTCATTCTATTCAGAATATTGGATTATCTTTGGCATATCCTAGCAGAAGTTTGCCTGATCTTGAAGGCATTGTCGGAGAAGATGTTGGTTACATAGAATTTGAATGGGGTCAAGCTTCCAAGAATAACAGAAGGGGTGACGGAGACTCATCATCAAGAAGACTAGTCAAGCTTTTCAGATGGCCTTTTAATACCAATGAAAAGCGTGAAATATGAAGCTGTTAATGAATAATCTTGCACCGAATTGATCAACGCGATCTTTGTGACTGCAATAGATGTAAAATTGTATAGGAATATAAAGTCTCATACTCTTCTACAGCAATAATCTTTGCTCTGAACTTCAAAGCCTGTTGAAACACTTCCACGCTCTGTAATCCTTAACGTTTTTATTCAATCAGCGTTGTGCAAAACAGTTCAGCATGGCAAAGGAAGATTTAACAGCTAAAGCACAGAAATTGCAACAGGAAAAGAAGTGGCCTGAATTGGTACAATTTTTAAAGCCTCTGGTCAGTGGCACAGAAGTTAATGAGAACTTTATTTTGTTGCTGGCTGAAGCGTACCAACATCAAAAGTAATCCTACAAAGCCCATAATGTCTGTTACTAATCTTTTGCACTTTCTTAGTGATGCCGATGATCTTTCTGCTCTTATTAAGAACTCAGTTCCATTACTGTTGAAGTTGTCAAAGGCAAAAACTTCGAAAATGGTTAAACAGCTTCTTGGCTTCATGGCATCCATTCATGGCTCAGCACAACTTCAAATCGAACTGGTCAAGAGTCTGATTAAAACAGCTAAAGACGAAAACAGAATTTATTTGAGACAGACTTTAGAGACCAGGCTCATCTCGCTGTTGTTGGATGTCAGAAACTACTCCGAAGCTTTGGCTATGATCAATGAACTTACCAGGGAACTGAAGAAGTTGGATGATAAGATGGGTCTTATTGAGGTGTTGTTGCTAGAGAGTCGATGCTACCACGCTCTAAGAAATTTGGCAAAGTCAAGGGTAGATTCTTGTTACAGTTAGCTTGATTTACTGTGTAGGCTTCCTTGACCAGCGCAAAGAGTTCTGCAAACGCTGTTTATTGTCCTGTTCTCTTGCAGGCTGCTTTGGATATGCAGAGTGGTATTTTGCACGCAGAAGAGAAGGATTACAAGACTGGATACTCTTACTTTTATGAAGCATTCGAAGGTTATGCCAGCCAGGAAGATGTTAAAGCCATTGTGGGACTAAAGTATATGCTACTGTGCAAGGTTATGTTAAATAATGTCGATGACTTTGTTGGTATCTTATTGACTAAACTCGGTTCCAAGTACGAGAAGATGATTGAAGTTGATGCGATGAAGGCTGTTGCAAAAGCATACCAGAACAGATCTTTGAAGGAATTTGAAGCTGCATTGGCAAAGTATACGATTCACTTACAAGATGATCCTATTGTAAAGGGCCATTTGAAGGAATTGTACGATACTTTGTTGGAACAGAATCTGCTCCGCATTATTGAGCCATACTCAAGAGTCCAGATTGGTTATGTAGCAGAAATGATCAACTTGCCTGTATTCCAAGTCGAGCAGAAACTAAGCCAAATGATTCTTGACAAGCAGTTGACTGGTATTCTTGACCAAAGTGCTGGAATGTTGGTAGTTTTTGATGAGCAGGAAGTTGACAAGACTTATGATTTGGGTTTGCAAACAATTAAGAGCATGGAAACTTTAGTTCAAAGTTTGTATGAGAAGGCTAGAACATTGTAATGCCTTAATGAAAAGTCATATTTTATTGCTCCTGTTCAGAGATGTCCAAGAATTTTACAACTGCTTGAATTCTTTCCGATACTTCCTTTTGTGCCTTCATTACTCGATTAAGATTCTTCTCTTTTCTACCGCTCTTGATATATTCTTCAATTGATTCCGTCAATGTAGGAAAAGTAACAGCACCATATCCAGCCCATAATCCGGGCGCGTAAACCACATGTTTGTACCATTCTCTTCCTTCAATGCCGCCTGTAGGAAGCAAAAACTGTCTTTCAGCAAGGTAAAGCTTTTTGTTTATCAGTGCGATTTCTTGATTTAATTCAAAATTTTCCTTCGTACTAAGATACTTCTCTAAAGAATAGGATTTTCGAGAAACTTGTTGTTTCAAATTTTCCATCTTCTTTTCGATTGCTTTTGAAACCTCATAGAGTGGCCTTATGCTATCTCTCAAAATCGTCAAATTACTCTTCGGAATTTTCTTGTCCAGACCTTCATTCAGAGCTTTTTCTAACTTGTTTACATAAAAATCCAGTTCTACGCCGTATTCTGTGTAATTAAAAGGAAGAATGATAGAATCACTCAAAGTTAGAGA